CAGTCTTCAGAACCTCCCAGGACAGAGATATCACAGGCTCCTCGTGGACCTGCTCCAGTGCTGAAACAGCTGCCAACAGTGAAAGTTTTTATCATAGAATCATAGAATCATTTAGGTTGGAAAAGACCTTTAAGATCATTGAGTTCAACATGCAACCCAGCACTGCCAAGCCCACCACTAAACCATATTCGTAAGTGCCACATCTACATGTCATTTAAATACCTTCAGGGATGGTAACTCAACCATTTCCCTGGGCAGCCTGTTCCAGTGCTTGACAGTTCTTTCAGTGAAAAAGTGCATCCATTGATGCAACTTGAGACCATTTCCTCTTGTCCTGTCACTTGTCACTCATGCGAAGAGACTGACCTCCACCTTGCTACAACCTCCTTTCAGGTAGTTGCAGAGAGCAATGAAGTCTCCTCTAAGTCTCCTTTTCTCCAGGCTAAACCACCCTAGCTCTCTCAGCCGCTCCCTGTAACACATGTGCTCCACACCCTTCTCTGGACATGTTCCAGCACCTCAATGTCTTTCTTGTACTGAGGGACCCAGAACTGAACACAGGATTTGAGGTGCAGCCTCACCAGTGCCAAGTACAGGGGGATGATCCCTTCCCTGGTCCTCCTAGCCACATTATTTCTGATATATTTTCTTAATGTCCAACCCAAACAGCTACTTGCAGCTGCTGCAGTAGCACGACAGCACTACACGTGCCCTGCCAACACCGAGAAGTGGCTTTCTTGCAGCCTCCTGTCAAGTAGTGGTGGGCTGCTAAGGGATGTTGTCCTGACCTCCAGTTTGTCAGACTGGGCCACCTCCTCTTCCTCAGCTTCTCATTGTAGCCCATGTGCCATAGGTAGCCACCACCTCCACAGATCTCAATGTTTCTCCTGAGCGCCCCAGCCCTGGCTGGAGGGGAGTAACATCTCCCATGGCCAGCCATGGTCTCCTGGGCACCTGTGGTTTGCCAGGCTGCAGTGCAGGCACCCTGTGCTGGTTTCCTCTCAGCAGCCCCGTTATGCTCATCTGGCCTGGGGTGGCTCAGAGGAACACTGCAGCCCATCAGCTCTGCTTCCCCAGTCAAAGCTTCAGCTTCCAACTGGGATTAAAATAGAGAGTTGTAAGGGACAAAGGATACAAAAGGAACCAGTCCAGACAGAGAGCCATATGGAAAGTATTCAATCTAAAACAAATGTGGTTCTAGGCAAAGAGAATTTTATTGACCCTAATACTGAATGCAGGGGATCAGCTGAGACTTTAAAACCAGGGCTTTCCAAGGCTTCAGCAGCTTTCCTCATGGTAGCAACACACATTACTCTCCATTTTACTATTTCACTAGTTCCAGTTTCTATTTATCTTTCCTCATCCCCGTTTGACCAGGAGGAATCTAAAGGCACCTGGAGTGGAGCTATCAGAGAATGGTTTAAATGGCCTTGCTGACAACTGCTAATCCATCAAAACCAGTGTTTTTGTGTGACGTCTGTACCAGGCTTGACAAGAAAGGGATT